TTTCTGAGCCTTCTAAGCTTCTCCTTTTCAGGAATCGACCCTCTTCGTGGTGTTGGGACAGCGTATGAAGGAGTGGTGAAGACCCCGAAACAAGGCGGCGTTAAGAAGGGATGGCAGGCGACATTTGTCGTCGTCTGTGACTTCAAACTCCTTCTCTTCGATTGCACCCCCAACAAGGAGAAAGGCAGCTCATCTACACCCTCGGATATCCACTCGAATGTTCGACAGGTACGAATATAGCTTTAATTAACAACAATTCTTATCCCTTGTAGGTGCTCGACATGCGCGACCCAGATTTCCAAGTGCAGTCCGTCTCCGAGCAGGACGTCATCCACGCCAGCAAGAGCGACATCCCCAAGATCTTCAAGGTGACCACGTCGCAGATCCAGGGCGCGCAAGCCGGCGACGAGGCCAAGCAGTACACTCTGCTCATGGCTGATTCGAAAGATGTAAGTGGATTTCCGAGTCTTTTTAGGTGTTTTGAAACGGCTTTGCTGAATTTGCCGGCTTTTGAAGTACAGGAAGAAAATGCAAAATTTTCAGGAATGCAAAAAGTGGGTGCTGGCGCTGACGGAGCTGAAAAGCCTGCTGAAAAAGTCTCGTCTGCCCGACAAGACGGCCTTCTCGTGCAAAGAGCTCTTCGACGTCAACTCGCTGCCGATGATCAAATTCGCGCAATGTGCCGTGATTGTCGACAAATCGAAGGTGGTCGTCGGCTTCAGCGATCACGGGCTGTATTCTGTGGAATTGGATCGAGAGGTCGGGTTTTAATTTGTATCAATTCTTATAAAAAACTACAAATAAAATATAGTTATTTCGATTTCCTTACCCAATTTTTTAGACGCTGGTGGCTGTCGGAGGCGAGAAGGAGAACAAGGGCCGATGCGTGGAAAGGGTGGAATACATCTCGTCCGAGCAGCTTTTTGTTGCCATGGTTGGAAAGGGCAATGATCGGTTCGTTTCGAAAAGTTAAAATACTGTTGTTTTTTAGACATCTGCGTCTGATCCCAACTGCAGCGCTTGATGGCCGTGATTTGAAGTGGATCAAGCTGGCCGACACGAAGGGATGCCATTTGATGGCTGTTGGAGGCATCGATGGCAGGCAAATGTGGGTTTATAGAAGATTTTATGAATATTGAGAATTTTAGGTATATTGCGGCGGCGATGAAGCGCTCCGTGATCCTATTTCAAGTTGATCGCACCGAGAAGAGGCACAAGCGGATGAGCTATGTAGGGAATTGCCACTTGATCCAATTTCCTATTCTTTTTCAGGACCTTGCAATGCCGGGTCTTCCCCAATGCATGTCAATCATTGGCTCGAAGCTGATCGTCGGTTTCCCCAACGGCTTCTCCAGCTGGAATCTCGCGGACGAGTCGCCAAAGATTCATTGTAAGTAATTGCCAGTTTTTCCCTAATATTTCATTTTTTTTCAGCCCTTGTCGACCACGAGGATCAATCCCTTTCCTTCCTCTCTCAGCCCGGCTACGAGGCTCAAATTGTCGTCCCGGTACACGGCTCTGACATCCAGGAATACCTGCTCGTTTTCAACAAACTCGGCGTCTACGTTGATCACACAGGTGCTTTTTGGTTAACAACTTTTTATTCTTCTTTTAGGCCGTCGCTCTCGTTCTCAAGAGCTGATGCTCCCGTCGCTCCCTCGACAACACAATGGCTTCTCCTACATTGAGCCGTATCTATGCGTCTACTCTGAGTCTCAGATCGACATCTTCCACGTCGCGCACGCGGAATGGGTGCAGACGATTAATCTCAAGTAAATATTTTTTTCTTTCTCTCTCTCTCTCTCTCTCTCTCTCTATCTCTCTCCTTCTCTCAGTCTCCTCTCCTTTTCTCTAGCTAATCAAACCCCTTTTCAGACAGTCCTTCCCCCTGACGGTCAATGGAATGGTTGTCGCCTGTGTTGTCAACGATTTCCCGTATCTTGTCGTTTTGAGCGATAAGCTCGGAGGTAACTTTCTAATTCCTATTTCTCTAAGTTTCCCACTCTAGGTGACGATCCCTTGCTTCTCCCTGAAAACTCGAAAACCGGCAGTCTCAAGTCAAAACGTAGCGGAAAGCGGAAATTCACTGTCCGCGTGCCCGGGAAGGACGAGCAAAAGTAAGCAACATTTACAGATCTCCTTAATCTTCAAAATAGAGCGGCTGATCGTCGAAGTGCCCTGCCCATCTCTGGCCCCTCCGATTTCAAGCATCTCTCCCATATGGGCCCCGATTCGGCGCAGAACTTCATCGATCTGGCCCGCGAACAGGACAAGAAACAAGCTGAGAAGGTGGGAAATTTTGAAAAAAACAACATTTAACCTCGTCCATCATTTTTGGGAACCCGAATTTTAGGCCTCACCGCGAAAGCTCTCCTCAATCATACACTTCTAGTCTTCAAAATGCAGAGCATGTATACATTAAAATGATGCTTTATTCCTTTTTTTGTAAAAACCCCCTTTGTTAATCCCTCTACCTCGTTTCCCCCTCTTTTGTTCGAGCAGACAAAAGGCTAAAGCGCTCTAAATATGTCCAATTTAGTTCAGCCTAAAAATTAGTATAGGAAATATCTTCCCCTTTCCTGTTTTTGTTAGAAAATCCTGCTAACCTTCTTTTCTTTATTTATATAATTTGTTTAATTTTAGAGTCGAAGCCTCCTCCCTCCAATCATGCGCTCCACCTCTAGCACTTCTTCAAATGTCAATTCGGTGCTTGGCGGCAGCAAAAAGGTATTTTATCGCTGATTTTCTAGTTTACTTATTTCTAGGAACTCGAACAAATGGTGCGCAATCGCCCGGTCTCCTCGCATAGCCGTAGTTCCGATGGATCGAGTCTAGGCCGAGACGTCAAGCTCGAAAATGCCTATATGGTACGATTTTTGCCTTTTCTGCCTAATTAAATTGCCAATTTAGTCAAAGACGACCGATTGAACCTTTGGTAATTATTAATTTCCAACTTTTCTCTATCCCCACCCCCACCGCATGCCCTATCTGCCTAGAAAGCTCGAGAAATCGCCTAGATTTGCACCTTCCAACTGGCGGACTTTCAGAATCTCTAAATTTCAGAATCTCTAAATTTCAGAATCTCGAAAAATCAGAAACTCTAAAAATCAGAATCTCTAAATGTCAGAATCTCTAAATGTCGGAATCTCTAAATTTCGGAATCTCTAAATTTCTTTGTACAGGAGCCCATACAGAGTTTGGCGCAAATTGAAACTGTAATGTGCTTTTACCCAAAGACGCCCCTGAAAACTTTTTCTGGGGTAGTTTTTTGCGCTAATCACCTAAAACGTAGATGCATTTCCATAGCGCCATTTTTCCGTGCTTGGTTACAACTGTTGTCTTCAAAACTTGGCTTTGCTATAAGCAATTCATTTTGACTTTTTGTGATTCGTGGTTACGTTTTTCGTGATCAGGGCAAAAAACTACCCCAAAAAAAGTTTTCACAGGCGACGTTGAGTAAAAGCGCCATACCGTTTCAATTTGCGCCAAAAACTGTATGGCTCGGCGGCGAGAAACAAAGAAATTTAGAGATTCCGATTTTTAGAGATTCTGATTTTTAGAGATTCTGATTTTTAGAGATTCTGATTTTTAGAGATTCTGAAATTTAGAGATTCTGAAATTTAGAAAGAAAATTTTGATAGGGCGGCCTTCCAACTGGCTGCCTAGAGTCTAGCTTTTCCACGCACATTTCAAAGTATCAGTTTGGGTTCTTGAGTATTTACAGGAGTGGATTTTGTATTTCCGAATGGTTTTTCTAGAAATATAGATATTCCAATAACGAAATAGCAAGGATTTTGGTACTTTGCATCGAATTTTGCTAAGTTTGAAGTGGAAAAACTATTTAGAAAACTGGGAAAATGTTTAAAAATGTTACATTTTTCTGTCGAAAATTGTTATTTTCGCTCGAAAAAGAATATTAGTGCATTTTTCTAACCAAAATTGTCGTTTTACTGTTAGGAAAAAAGGAAAACCAAGACTTTTCTTCTGTTCGAAAATTCGATTGGATTTTTATGAGAAAAAAAGCGGTTGCCAGGAAAAACGTACGTTTCCCTCTGGAAATACTAAAGATCCTGCATTTCCTTATCGAAAACTGACTAATTACAAAATTCCAACTATTTTTATCGCTTATTTTCAGGAGCCAAACTCTCGTCAACGCCAATCGGTGCCAGCCTTCAGCTCCCCATCAACATCTTTCCCCAATTCCCCACGCCAGCATGATGCCTCAATCGATTAGAGATCATTTTTCGTTTCGTCGTCGATGTGTTTTGTGCTCTATTTATCCCCCACTTCTTCTCGGGTCCGTCTTCTCTCCCTTTTTTTAGTATATCAAATTCATCCAATTCACATACATTTCCTGTAGTTCAATACAATCATCATCGCTGCAATTGCTGTCTTCTTCTCTAGTTCTCTTCTTTTTCCCTCTCGTCATAATCTCTGCTCCATCTGCTCACTTATTCCCCCCCGATGCTTCCCCCTAAATATATATTTATCGATGCCTTTCCCCTTCCCATTCGCTTACCCCCAATTTGCTGCCTTTTCACCCTTCGGCACTCTATGGCCTAATTTATTCGCGTCCCGGTCGGCTGCTTCTGTGTCTTCTTCATCTTCTTTCTAAATAGTACCCTAATTGTATATACCTAATAGCAGACAAATAATCTCTGCTCGTTACCTTCCTTTTTCTTCCGATTTTCAGTCACTTGTCTGCCCATTTCCCGGGCGAATGGACCCTATCACCATCCTCTAGCCTCGTCAATTCATTGGTCCTAGTTTTACCAGCGCTGTGCTTCAACCGTTTTTGTGAATAAAATTCCATTATAATCGCTTCCAAGAAGGAAAATGCGTCTATGTCGGGATCACCACTATCATTCACAACCACGATTGCTTTATTCGAAAAATACACATTGAAATTAACTTGATAACATGAGAAAAAGTTGGGCGAAAATCGAAACAAAGAACGATAAATAACAAGGCGGGAAATGAGATACGATGTGTAGCTTCTACTCGGATTGGGCCAGCGGGTTCTTCAACACCAGAATCACCGAATCGCCACTAAAAACAGTGATTCTCCCAAAAAATAATATAAATTACCGGAGGAACATCTTGGAGATGAAGCGATCTCGGGCGACGGGCTTGGCCTTCTTCTTTCCCTTTCCGCTTTTCGGCAATTCGGTCCACATCTCCTTCACGTTCTCCAGTACCATGTTGCAGTGACTAAACAAATACGAAATTAGGGGAGGAGGACTCTTGTTTACCGATCAAACGCCTTCACACGGCCAAGCAGCTTCTTGTTGTTTCGGCAGTTGATGAGCACCTAAAATGATATTTTATGATTCCATAACCCTCAATATACCTGCGAGTTGTTCTTCACGGAATTCGTGAGGACGGAGAGCGGGCCAACGGTGAATTCCCTTTCTTCTTGCTCCTGCAGCTCTTCCTGCGTCATCTCCGAACGGGGTTTTGCCATGCTAAAAAAGAAATTAGTTTAGTCTAGGCGCAAATTTCTTACGCCATCTTGTCGTTGTGGGGTGTCGCGAGACGGGGGCTGCGTTTAGTACCTGAAAAATGAGCTTTAGAAGGGGCAATAATCACGAAAAGGCGGAAATAGTAGAATCGTGAAAAAAAAGAGGATTTTGTTCTGAAAAGAAGAATGATGAGGAAAGTCGGGCCCAAAATTTCGAATCGACCACTGCGTAACGCTCCTTTGCGCACTTTCTCTCTGTGCGCTCTCCACATTCACTTTCCCAGGCCGAACGGCCGATTTTCTATTACTTTTAAAAGTTTTGAAGCTTTTTCACGCTTTTAGAAAGCTTTAGCCCCTGAAATATATAATTTTTGTTTAGAAAATGGCGCCCCGCGAGCGGCCAAAGGACCCGGAGGAAGATGAGGCCGTTGCTGGCCCGAAAAAGATGAATTTCGGCCCGAACAAGGACCCCCAGTGGTGGGACATCAACACTTTTACCAAGGTGGACCCATTTTTAGCATCCTTATCAATGCGGTTTTAGGATGACAATAAGAACGGACTACTGGAGGAGTCGTCGTTTTCCTGCGTTTTCCCGAAGTATAGGGAAAAGTATATCAGGGTGAGTAGCTTTAGGAAATGTCAGTTTCAACTTTGATACTTTCAGGAATGCTGGCCACTGCTGGAAAAAGCGCTGAAGCCACACGAGCTGAAGGCGGATCTCGATTTGATTGAAGGTATGTGCTTCTTTTTGTTTTTTTCTTCAAATTTCGAAATCTATTTTGTGTGGAGCGCCCTACACTCCGATTTCTGTTGTACCAATCTGTACCTTTACACTTAGGAACGATGACGGTACGAACCACACGAAAGACCTGGGATCCGTACATTATCATCAAAGCCCGCGATTTGATCAGGCTTATCTCGAGGAGTGTGCCATTTGAGAATGCCGCCAAGGTATACCATTTTGGTCTAAAATAAACTCCAAATCTTTAGGCATTGGATGATGACGTCGCGTGTGAAATTCTGAAGATTGCCGGCATGGTATTTTCCGAAGAATTTTGAAAACTTTGTTTTTAGTGCTCAAACAAAGAACGTTTCATCAAAAGACGAGCCCGATTAGTTGGAAATGAGGGCGCCACTTTAAAAGTAAGCAAATTTGTTTTTTTGACAAGTTTATTGAATTTTCAGGCAATCGAGCTGCTGACGGAATGTTATGTGGCCATCCAGGGAAGCACCGTATCAGCCGTTGGCCCGTTTCACGGCTTGAAGCAAGCCATGTAAGTTTTTCCAATCTTAAATCTCATTTTCTTCTAGGCAAATCGTGACGGATTGCATGCAGAAAAACATTCACCCCATCTACAACATCAAGACGCTGATGATCAAGCGCGAGCTGGCCAAAAACGAGAAGCTCAAGGACGAGAACTGGGAGCGATTCTTGCCCCATTTCAAGAAGAAGGTCAGTTCTTTGTGTGTTTTTTTTGCGTAGTTTGTGCGAAAAGGTCTAGACTAGCTAAAGCCGATTTTGTAGCCAGATCTTTTCATTACACTTTAATTTATATGCGCTTTAATCCCCCCTTTCTTTTCAGGTTCAATCAGCCGCGACGACGGCCGAGGCGAAGAAGAAGAAGGCCAAGAAGTGGAAACAAAAGCCCGAGTACACCCCCTATCCACCCGCACAGCAGCCCAGCAAGGTATTTTTAGAAAATTGGAAAATTAAAGCAATTTATTGCACGGACTTTTTGAAAAATTTGATTGCTGTCTGACTTTTGTTGACCATTTCGTATGGCTAACTCGACGCAATCTTTTTAAATTCTTGTTTTAGAAAAAGTGATTTTCGAAAAGCTGTATTAAATTCTTTTTTTAGGTGGACAAGATGCTGGAGACGGGTGAGTACTTTATCACGGAAGAAAAGCGGGAACGCGACAAGAAGAGGGAAAAAGCCGAAAAGATGCAGCAGAGGACAAAGGAGCGCATCAAGTCGGTTTTAGGAATATTTTCGATTTTTAAGCGTTTTCTACTATTTTATAAATCCCCTTTTTTCAGGGAACGAAACGCAACGCTCATCCCGAAGCCCGAGAAACCCATGGAAAAAGTGACGAAGCGGAAGGAGGAGCCGACCGTCGACGTGGCCTCCCTCAAGAAGAAGGCGAAGAAGTTGAAATTACAGTAATCTTTCGTGTTATTACATATCTTGTTATTGCTGCTTACTGTTGATTTTTGTTGTAGAAATAAAGGGATTGCACAAACCACGCGGTATTGGGTTTTGATTTTTGTTCGTATCTATCTGGAGCCATTTTTTTTGCATTTAGTTTGCGTTTTTTTAGTATTTTAATAACTAGGTTTTCTTTTTTGACATCAGGATCTTTATCCATTATTTTATCAAAATAACATGAATTAGATCTATAAAAATAATGTGGGGAACAAGTACTCGTATCGGGGAATGGCTGGCAAAGAATAATCGCAATCAAGGGGAAATGGATTGTTGACTTTTGTCGATTTCGGGGTAAGGTACCTTGTTAATATTAACAAAATACAATGGGGGAATACCCGTTTATAACATTGGGACCTAACAGATACGATAATGACAATAAAACGAAATAAGGACTCTAGTTTCTAGTTTTGTATTTGTTTGTTTAGTTTATAAAGAACTAGGGGGAGTTTTTTAAGTTTTGTATAGCAATGAAGAAATTCTTGGTATTACACTATCCTCTAGATACAGGGTTTTTACGGCGCTAGCATTGTGGTCGTGGCCAAGATGGGCTGCTCGTAGTGGCTCATCTCCGCTTTCCCATAATAATTGACCCGCCGATCCTTCCAAATCTCTTCGCCGACTCCTCCTGCTGTTTGCGCTGTAATAGAAGTGGTTTTTGAGATTTTTGAGGCTTCAAACTCGGGGGATTGTAGGATTAGATGACCCCCTAAAATGCCGAAACTTGGCCCTATTTTTAGAACGTCTGAGCTCGATATTGCGCAAAGTGCTTCTGCGAGCCTGCCCTGTTCCTCAGGGGGTTTCTGCTAGTACTCCCGACTTTTGACCTAATTTTTTTGTAGGTGCAAAGAAGGTGCGCGACTCTCCTAGAATTCCAATTTTAGAGCGTGTGAGCTCGAATTTCGCTCAAATTGCCACTGCTAGCCTGCCCTATTCCTCAAGAGTTTCTGCTAGCCCCCAGTTTTTGACCTAATAAGTTTCTAGGCGCAAAGATGTTGCTCGACCCTTCTGAATATTCTAGGGATCTGCAGGGCAGGGGAGACCCAGAAGTTGCCCGTCACCCCCTCCTTTTCCTCTATTCTAGACCTAGAATAACCTATCCGAGCCTCGAAAATAGAACATCGCGCCTACACCTTTTTGCATATAGGCAGGAAATCCCGTTAAAATCCGTTAAAAACAAAATTAGAAAATTGTTTTTATGTAAAACTAACCGGGTCAAATTCCTCCATCACTCGCTTATTCCGTTTTGTTTTCCGGATGCGTTGCTGCATCTCCTCGGAGCCGAGGTTTTCCTTTAGGACCCGGAGCTCTTCATACATTTGTCGTCGCTCCATCTCGTGCTCAATTCGTCCCAGTAATGCTTCTTTGGATCTGAAAATTTGGGGGTTAGTCGGAAAACATGTTTTCTCTAGATTTCACGATTTTGGGTTTCTTTTGCTTGCGGAAAAATTCGCGGTTTGCTATAAAAGCTCGATCAAGTCGTCGGTGTATGTCGATCCACTTTTTTAAAGGGATTGGGAAGTGAAAACTAACCCCTCACTCTGCGGTACCCGGATGATCATATTCATTTGTGGATAGGCCTGGCAGAGGCACAAATGTAGTAGGAAGAGGAGGACTGCTTGGCGGGTTATTCGTTCGAGTCGAGAGGGTGCTGCCATTGAGCCGACGCTAAAATTATGTTTTTTTTTAGCTGCAGATCTAGTTTTTTTCAGGATGAAGCTTTGAAAACGCGTTGAGAACACATTGAAGATCTGGGGATACGGTAGTCGTATAGATAAAGTAAGGATTTTCAAGGCACAAATTTGAGGATTAAGGCCATTCGAAAATTAATCAAGTCCGAGCGGCCGGAATGAAGCCATAGAAGAGCCTTGAGAGGCAAACCGGGGCCGAATCCCCTCGAAATTCTGGGGGATCTGAATCTATCTGGGACACGGTAGAGGGCCAACCAGATGGGCGGGGCTTAGGGCCCACGAGGGCCCAACCCATCTCTCGCCTCGGCTGGCTAGAGAAGGAAGCTCAACTTCATGGAGAGGGGCGGGGTTCAATAGAGGAGCTCGTAATCCTGTAGATATTACAGGGGGATTTGACGACGACCCGGATCTGGTTGATCCAGGTCAACAAGAAGCGAGTGATGAGGAGGAGACTGGATTTAGATCAGGAAGTGGGGGTGGGAGGAGAGGGGTGAGCTTTACCGGAAGTTTTTTTCTCGGGCTTCCTCGGGTTGCTTTCACCCTTTGTGTTTTGTGTCGATGTGATTAGTGATGGGAAGCTTGTAGTGAAGCCTTGAGAGTTGGGAAGTTCAGACCGTTGCTGCAGCAGACGGAGGAAGGTAGACTTGGGTCTTTTGAAGGAGTTCAGGGAGGCTACATTTTTAAGGCTAGGATTTTTATAGAGGTCGAGAATTTGGTTATTTAGATCAAAACGTTGCAAATTTCAATTTGAGGTCGAAAATAACGCAAATTCTGGGTTTTAGAACATTTTTCTTTTTTTTAAAAAGTTTTTGATATGAAGAAATTACTAAAAACTATATTCAAGCCCCCCTTATATTCGGGTATTAGGCCAACTGGAGCGATAGTGAAAAATGTGTTGTGAGATTTTGATAGATTTTACACTTTTTTAGACGCAGCGAGTGTTCGGCTACTAGTAGACGTTGCAAGTTACGTGAATCCACGCCCCGGAATAGATTCGGCTCACCGATTGCTAGTGGCCACCTAAACACCCCCCGTAATTGCCGTCACGTCCGAGCGGCCGATGCTCCAAGATTTGCTAGCTCTTGCTGCTGACGTGTGAACCTGTGCAAATGGCCGGAGAAGGCGGAAATTCAGAAAAATTAGGATTGGAAGTTATGTTTCACGTAGAACGTGGACCTTCAGATTTTCCATACTCACAAAAGGGTAGCGTCATAATACTTGCAGACTAGGACTATATCTGGCTTCGCCACGTTTCCCAATCAAAGTTTGAAAAACGAAAATGTCGAATTCTCCATGTTTCCAGCAAGGGTTTCAAAAACAACTTTTTCGCATCGAAAGTTCGCTCCATTTGCTAGAGATCTATCTGGGTGATTAATAATGTCTGGGCCCTATTTTTCAGCACGGAAACCTTCAAAATATCCCCCCCCCCCAAATTGGCGATCATTGGAGTTTCAGGGAAACTCTACAGCTTCGCCGAACATTGCCGGATCGTTTTAGAGGAGTACGAGAGATTTGAGCGAGCATAGAATCATTAAAACTAGTGACACACCGCCGATTTACTTCTGGTTTGTAATTCGTTTTCAGGCGTCGAACCGGCAGGCGAACAAAAGCCCCTTTCGGAAATGCGATTTTTCGTGTGTTATGTCCCCCGGTTACTCAAATCCATCTACGTCAAATCTTTAGATTTATCCGGCATGTCCGAAAATGGGATTTGAGCGTGTAGTTCCAGGCGGCCAGCTAATCCATTTCGACGCGCGTAAAACGGGGGGTTCACTTTTTGTGGAAAATAGGGGGCCAAATTTAGAACAGGCGAGGGCTTCGTTAATTTTCTTCGCGGTCGTGATGAACAGATTAGGGCGCGTAGAACGGGGGGCTAAAATTAAATTCTCGCAAATTACCGCATTTTTCCGGGTTTTCCGGACGTTTGTACTTGACTTTAGTCTACGTGGCTTTCTGTACTTTTCGATAAGTTGTTTTAAGTTTTGTTCTTTGCAGGTACTTTCCGGTCTGCAGCTTTTCCTTTCATGTTTTTGTTATAATTGTTAGTTTTTCTAATTTTCTTTTACAGGTAATTCTCCTCAAATGGTGGATGTGACGCACACAAACTTGAGGGAATGGCTGCCCACGCTGAAGAGCACCATCTCCAAATCGTCGTTTATTGGTGAGAAAAGTAATTCTATAACTTTACAACCATTTAGCAATCGACTACGAATTCCTCGGAATTCCTACCACTGAAGATGTCGTCTCGCTTTTCGATTCCCCCGAAACAAGGTCTAAAATATCTTTAAATTCTTTAAAATACGCAATTTTATAGATACACAAAATACCTGGAGTCGGTCCGGAAGTTCCCACCGTGCCAGCTGGGCATCGCCTGCTTTATGAACAACGATGAGGGCAGGTAAATATGCTCAAAAAGAGAAAAATTCATCTTTCTTCTAGCTATTGCGCCGAGGTGTTCTCGTTCCCCGTCTTCAAGCGGTTGACCCCAAAAGTGTTCTCCTTCGAGCTGCCGTCGATGAAATTTCTCGCTAAGCACAAGTTCGACTTCAACAAGGTCAGAGATTTGTAAAATAGAACTATTTCAATCGATGTTGCAAACAGTTTTGAATTTTGTAAATACTATATATAAATTTTTTCAGCTAGTGGCCGACGGTGTCTCCTACGCAAACAAAAAATGATCTGGCTCGATACAGGAAAGAAATCGAACGCCAGGAGATTGACTACGAGTACGCTATTTCCGCTCTCAATTTTTTACATGCACTTTTTAGCATTTTTGCCGACAACCTGGAATACCGCATCAAAATGCTGAAGCTGCACGTGCTCGAGGAGGCCCACATTCACAATGTAAGAGCTTTTGAGAGTCTCTTTCTATTGTGTGAGAAATTTGTGTTGTTTTCGGCTGAACTTATGACGCCGATTTTTATCATATCATGCGTTTGAAAATCCCGGAAAAAGGAAGGGAATGACGAGCGGAAATTCGGGGGGTATTTGGGTACGACCCGGCTATAACCAATCTCGAATTGCGGAAAACTTTGGAATGATGCACGCATGTGTCTGTTCGTTGCGGGGTTTCTTCTTTTGACAGTAGGGGGGAATCGAGGAAAGAAAAGGAAAAAAGGAAAGTAGAAGCCCTGCAGTGACCCGGCGGGACACAGATGTGCGTCCGGTGGTTGGTAGGGAGGGAGATTAGGGATGTAGACTCATTCACTGAATGGACGTTGCAAGTTTCGGAAGTTGGAAATACTTGCAGAAATTGGGAAATATCAATAAGGGATGAAAAACAAAAAAAACCTTTTTTTTTCAAAAAATCGACAACGCATTTTTTTCTATTAGCCGAGATATGCTTAGCAATTAATAGCGAGTATTTTAATTGTTTAGATAAATTTTCTAGGATGCTTTGCAACGCCGAAATGTTAGGGTTGAGTTAATGAAAAAAATAGAAGTTTCTATCTAAAACATCTTAAAATACGATAAATTCCGTTGTATTTCAGAACCCGGCGTTCCTGGAGTCGTCAGCGGTGCGCAGAAGAAAGACGGCATCGATGGCAGTTGAAGGGCCATTGAATCTGGTTGGGCCCATGCTGATTCAGCTATCACCCGAAGGCATCGTCTACGCGACAGAGGGAATGGCGCCTGTTAGGTATACTAGAATTTAGTCTAGAAAATGATGCGCGACTCACCTGTCTACTTCCGGATAGAAAAACCCAGTTTTTCGCCGCTCTAAACGGAACTTATTGAGTTCCGGGATCTCTTGATCCTTCGGATTTTGCGCGGCTTTGAGACGGCACTAATCCTAGAAATATTGCCGACTTTTTCTGCAACTGGATACGTGATATTTCCGTTGACTCCTAGCACTCCGGCTATTTGCGAGTACTTGAAATCGTTTTGTTTGTGGGATCGAGCGCGAGAAAATTATCGCGTTATTCTTATTTAAACCATTTTGTCTGCATTCGAGCGCCAACCGTGCCACTAGAAGTCCACAAGCATTATAGTCCGACTACTGGAGATGATCCCCTCTGCCCCTCCTGTCGGGTCATCAAAGCCATCCTCTTTATCCCCATTTTAAGCCATAAGCTCCCCCATAAGTCGTCCCGCGGTTGATCCACGCGCCAATTGTTTTGCTCGGAGAGTGACCCCCAGCTTCGACAAGCCTAGAAAATGGAGATGAGGATGAAAATTGGTGTAATAAAATGAAAAATGTAGGTTTTCGAGAAAATCTAAAAGTTAGAAAAAGTTTAGAAGTGGTTTTAGCGCCCTCTAGGAACCTAGAAAATTGAGGGTAAAGTAAGAACGGGTTGAAGGCAGGGTTCGTTTGGGGGGGGGAGAGCCTGGAGGTTAAAAATTGTTGTAATGAACTCAAAATATGTGTTGAAGGGTTTAAAAAGTTTAAAAGCCTTTTTCAGTGCCCCACTCTGGGATCGCGAGCTGTCCCCGGTCGAGGCGTCGATTGTCGTCTACGAGATGACCCTCCAGTTTCCGAATTGTGAATTCCACGTCGACCCCACGAGGACTATTGTAATCGATTACGCAATCGAATCGTTATTTTTATTTTAGTTGTATTGCGCCGAGCAGCAGCGCATCTTCCGGCGTGGTGATGTCGGGGAAGAGCGGCTGAGAGTGTTGCTGGAAAAGTAGATTCTTTAATCCTGCTTTACTTTGCGTTTTTAGTGTAATGATCGAAATCTCTGGCCTGTCGCAGTTGATCCACTGGATGGCCGAGGAAAAGAAGGTATCAAGTTTTCGTATCAGTAAGACTTTTAAATTTTAATTCTATTAGATAATTAATTCTGAAAGTTCGAGGGCTTTTACTAGGCAAAATTAAAAATTATATTAGATTTTGGATAAAAAAATTATCTAATTTAGCCGATCATCGCCCACAATTCACTCCTCGACCTGCTCTACACGTATCACTGCTTCGAGTACGAGCTGCCGGGTAGAATTGGCCTTTTCTAAAACTGCGGTAATTTTTTAGAGGAGTACTCCGCATGGAAAGGAGCCCTCCATCGACTTTTCCCCTGCATCATCGATACGAAAATCATGGCCGCATCGCTGCAAGATGTACGCAAATTTTTCTATATTTTTATTCTGTTTTTTTTTCAGCTCCTCCGAAAGCACGGCGTCACCGATTTCTCGCTGCAAACCCTCGGCAGCTTCTTCCACTCGTGAGGATTCAAAAAAATCAGTTTATTTATTTTAGGCCGTCTTGCGGAGAGATACTGCCCCTCACCGTGTCGTTCACCTCATACCACTCGCAATCAGCGTTTACGCGTCAGTTTTTATGAAGATTTCTCAAAGAATCTCTGCTAGGTTTCCCTAAATTGGCTAAAATTGCCTGGAGAATTTTTGCAATCAATCCTTCCTCCAGAATCTCTGCAATATTGCCCGGCCTCCTCAAAGAATCTCTGCTAGCTGCAAGCGATTTCCTCAAAGAATCTTTGCAAGTTAACCCTGCTTTCTCCATGAATTTCTGCTAGCTTGCCAACAAAACTCTTCTTTTTCAGCCGATGAGCACTACCACAACGCGGCCTTCGACGCACTCATCACCGGCGAGGTCTTCGTCAAGCTGGCCTACCTACATGCGATGAATAGGTACTGTAGAGTTATGCGTTACGGTAGATTGGTCACCTTTATTCCCATAACAACAATAATTATTGGGACACAAAATAACTTATTAATAAAAAAATAAATACTGAGGGCCCGGGAGAACAATCGTGATCATCAGCTGTACTTTGTAGCCTTAGTTCAGGGCCCATTTTTGCTGTTGTTGCTCAGTCTTCTCGACCTCCTTCTCCAGATTGTAGACCGGTTCGGGCAGTTGGATCTCGGCGTCGGGCCTAAATTTTGAGCATCAGCTATGATATGCAATTTTTTGATACTTGTTGGCCTCGCTGATCTCCTCCTGTTCCTCCTCAGTTACCGTCGGCTTCTCCTCGGCGGTGATGGCGGGGACTCCCTCACTAAATGGTGGGGATTAGACTTCGTTTAGCTTGGCTTTGGGCTTTAGCTTAGGTTTAGGCTTGGGAGCTTAGCTTAGACATTGTTGTAGTTTGAAATCTATCCCGACCGTGTCTCCTTCTCGATCTTGTCGGCCAGGCGGATCTTGAGGTTCTGGAGCGCCCTCCTCTTCCTTCCTCCTCCGCATCCGCAGCATCCACATCCGCAGCAGCCGCAGCAGCTGAATTTGGATTTCCTTAGCTGATTCCAGACTGTTACACGGCTTTAAAAAACTTAAAAAGCAATTTTTGCCCCTCTTCCAGGCACCAAAAATCTCTAGGTTTGAAAAGCAAATTTTGCTGACATTGAGAAAAAGCTTAAAACTTTCTTTTCAAGCTGAATTGTTTTGCCAGATATCTCCAGGTTCTCATTCTCATTTTGTCATCAATACTCGATTCTAGAGTCCAAATAAGCTAGATGAGAAATGTGGCACACTTCTTAAGCGGATTAGCGGCCGTCCCGCGCCCCGGCTTCACTACAATCCCTTCTGTTCTATCCGGCTAACTTGCAGAAATTGTGTTTAGGTTAGGGAAACTAGCAGGGATTCTTGGGGGAGCGCTGGCTAGACTCTTGAATACAAGCTACAACTGACCATGGCCTGCAACAGCAGCATCGGCAACATCTGCAGCAAGTCGTGCAGCACGTGCAGCAACGGCAACAACGGCAGCAACAGCACCTAGAAGTTTAGTTTCACGAGATTAGCGACCAGATTTTTGCCGTACTCAATCGAATCAGCTCAGAAATTCCATGTTTTTGGCGAAATTAGGCCCATTTTAGCCGGATTAAATGTCAAAATTTGATATCGTAATCGATCGAGTCAGCCCAGAAATTCGATTTTCGAGAAAATGGGTCGATTTTAATACGATTAGGACCGGGAATTTAACGTCGTAATCGATTCCAACTCACGGCCGACAGCAGCAGCAGCACCTAAAAGAATTCTTAAAATTAGTATTTGTGCTTTTTGACTTACGGTCTACAGCAACAGCATCCACATCCACAGCAGCCATTCCTCTTCACGCGAATCCCCGTACCGTCGCCCTCACTCAGCGTGTCAATTGCCGTCGTTTCCGGTACAGCCAATTCTGTGGTAGTGGCCAACTCGGTGGTGGCCGCATCACGATTGGTGGGAGCTGCCTGAAAACGGGGGATCTTTCGTGTGGGGTTGATTGGAATGGAATGATTGTTAGACCATTTAATGGCTCTCAAAAACTTTTTTGTTAATTATTTAACCGATTTTAGCAGATTTTATCGACGAAAAACTCGTTTATTTTTATAGCATTTTCAATGGGCTTTTAATGCTGTCAAAATCATGCTTAGGCTTAGGCTTATTTTCGCGTTTTTAAGAGCTTCCCAGAGCTGTAAAAATCATGAAATCCTGATGTTCCTGCCCGGAGATAGAGCCTGTAAATGATTTACCTGGGCCATATACAGTACTCCAAAGAGGGCAAGGGATAGCAGAGCAGACTTGAGGTATGCCATTTTGATAGAAGAAGAAGAAGCTGGGGATGATGGGCTGATGGCTGGCCCAAGACCCACACTTTATATATCAACCATCTGAAGGGGATGGCAAGTTGATAGGGAGGGGGCACATCTACAGCATCACCACCAACATCATCATCTGGACATGTCAAATGGGGGGATCGGGTAGAGCGTCATCTCTCTCTCTCTCTCTCTCTCTCTCTCTCTCTCTCTCTCTCTCTCTCTCTCTCTCTCTCTCTCTCTCTTCCGATGCCTTGACCGCGTTGACAGCTCCCCCCCCCCCGCGCCAAGCGGATGCGCGTATACGTGTGCGGCCAATGATCTCGCCGATCCGTTACGCTATGTAAATATGACCGGACCAAGAAGTGCTACCTAAAAATTGATCGGGGTAAACGGGCGGAGATCTTTGGAGAATTTGTGGCAAACTGGCAGAGTTTCGGAGGCATTTTCTGTAGTTTTACGTTGAGGGCTCGAGAGGCAAGCTGCGGAGATTCTTGGGGAGTATCTTTGCTAGTCTGGGCAAGCAACAAAGTTTATTAGGGAATTTTGTCTTGATTAGGGAAATTAGCAGAGATTTTTGACGACTTTCGTCTATTTCAATCTGCCGCTTGAGAGGAACTAGCATAGGCCTTTGAAAAAAAATCCCATTTTCCAGAAACAAGGACAAATACGCGTTCAACAAGCTGTGGCCCCTCGAGAACCTCGTCTACGTCTGCCGCGCCGATTTCGCCAACCGTATCCCCGTCCGGCTGATGGATTCGCTGTACTGTAATTTGGTAAAAGTTAGCCTGATTACCGTATCCCCCATTTTTCAGATAGGCTCCGATCCGGCCGGCGAGCGCCCGCACATCTTCCGGTTGACGCCGAAACGAGCCGGGCCTGGTGGGTCTAGCCGGTTACGCAATGTATCTGTATTTCCAGCCTGGGCCCAGTCGATAGCCCCTGTTCGTTGGATCGTCACGTTGCTGAGTAATGAGCCGACACTGGTCAGTGCTCTATGCTTTGCCCATCGTAATCGAGTCTAGATCAGCGAGCAAGACTACACGACATTCCGCCACGACGTGCGTAGGCGTTTCGGGTCGACCCGGGTTGATGCGCGGCTCGCCCCCACGCGGGCATACATCGAGATTGCTACAAATACGGCTAATACGTGAGTGTTTGTGAGGGATTTGCACTAGAAAGGGATACGGTGGATGATCCGCCGGATAATTCGGGTTTGGAGGAGGGCGCAAATATACACACACCTACACATTTTAGGGGGAGCGCGGCAGGCTGGAAAACACCCCGGGGATTAATCACCTTCACCCTGGACCCTCAAATAATTAGTTCGAGACCCGGGAATTTGTCACCTTTTGCTTAGAATCGTCTTAGACTCGGCTTAATCCTAGAAAAGTGGTGATTTTTGAGACTTGAAAACACCAATTTCTAGGGGGTTAACCTTTTTCCAAGTAAAAATTAGGCTGCTCAAGTCCTTTCTTGGCCTGTAAACAGCAGAATTGTCAGCACGTTTCAGTTGATGTTTTAATTTACCGTCTGTCTCTCGCTTCCCAAATGATCCCTGCTAACTGGCCCCAAATTCCCAAAGAATCACTGCTAGTTTGCCCTTATTCCTCAAAGGTTCTCTGCTAGTTTGCCACAAATTCACAAAGGCGCTCTGCGAGCTTGCTCTAACCCCCAAGAATCTCTATTAGCGATCCCTAAATCCGCAAAGAATCTCCGCTAATTAGCCCTAAATCCGGAAAAAAACCCTTGCAATGTTGCCCTGAATTCCAAAACAATCCCTGCTAGGCTGCCCTAAATTCCAAAACAGACCCTGCTAGCTGCCTACCCTGAATCGGCAAAGCTACTCTGCTAGCCTGTTCCAATTCGCAAAGATTCTCTGCTAGCTTTCTACATTCCCCCGTTTAGTTTTGGCCGTGTGTGCTCGTGGTTGGTGACGATGGATCAGTACGAATTGCCGGCCGGCATCCGCGAACAACAATATGAGGAGAGACTCGTCAGTTTACAATCAATTCTCTAATCAGTATTTCAGATCTCTGCCTCAACCTATGCCAGACAGCGGTCCACGAGAAGCCGAAAGCCCGAGGAGAGGTTTGACATGAAAAGCCCGCTATCAAATTTTTCATCTTTAGTCACTCGACTCAACTGCTGTGCATATCGGCCATCTCTGCCCTCAGCGCCCTCGCAGCCATCGCTGCCTGGCGACATTTTAAATAGCTTTTAAATAGCTAATCTTGTACGCCATTTTAGAGATGTTTTTGTGATAATCCCGGTCTCATCACGTCCTTTTTTTCCCCTTTTCTTCTTGTTGCTGTTGTTTTTGTGCGTCTCATTGGCTCTGGGTCCTCCTTGCGGGTATTTCCTCTTTTTTTGGCGCGCTTCACTTAATTTCAATAATTCGTGCTTTGAATTTTTTGGAGTAATAGTTTTCGGAATAGTTCGCACCCCCAAAAAAACACACCAAAACACGGTATTCCGTTTTCCCTGCTCTCGCCAAGATGGGTGGGTTAACCAATTGTTTTGTTCTAGCTAGATTTTACTTTTACAAGTGACTCTTTTGCTAGAGAAATTTGCTCGAAGAATTGCAAAAATAGATCTAGACGAAATTTTAAGGTAGATTTTCATATTTTTATTGATAGCAAAGTTTAAAAAACTATAATTTCTTTGCTGGCCAAGTTAAGAAGGAGTTTTTCTTTACTGTAGGAATCAAAAAATAGCACTAGATTTTATAGACAAGCCTCGAATTAAAGAATTTTACATCTTTATTAACAAGTATTTTGTTTGCCAGACAAAAGCGGCAAGGCGAAGGCCGGCGGTGGGGGGAAACATTCGATTCCTGCTGACAACCGCAACAGCTACCCGACGGCCCACAAGAAACAGGGCACGGGCGGAGGAGGAGGATATCCAAGTTCGTGCTCAAGTTATACGCTCAAAATTTGTTTTTTTTTAAGAGCCCGGCTACGGATCGGTCGGCTCTGATGGGTAGGGCAGTTTCGTTCTTGTGCAAAAACGGATAACTTCTTCCTTTTTTTTAAAGAAAGGCGTTTCTATACTTTTTCTGCTATTTAAGAACGTATTAATGTTAAAGAAAGTGCCGATTTCCCCAAAAATTACCAATTCGTGTTCTTTTTTGGGCTTCTTGTGCATTTTTTCACTTGAATATCGCTAAATTGTATTCGAAAGGATCAAAATACTTTCTATTGCATTACTTAGAATATATAGCCTCTCAGGATATATAGACATATAGACAATAATAGACAATAGACTTTTTTATAGACTACGCTTTTTCAGACGAACAAAAATTTGGGTTTTTGACTAGCGAACCGAGATGCTCAAATGTTTTGCAGTTACCCGGACCACGCGGTCACCTCCTCGAAGGTGTCGACGGAATGGTGGCGCGAGAAGGAGCACACCAAATACCTCAAGAAGCGCCGCTTCACCGAAGCTCTGTCAGTTTTTGTCCATTTTCTCTTTACTTACTATTCTTTTTAGATACAGCCTAATCGCGAGCTTTTGGCTTGTCCTGCTCGGCATCCTGTTCGTCTCCTACATCACTGGTAACGCTGCCCAGAATTGGATATCCTAATCGATTCGCTTCAGCCAACGAAGACAACGCTGCCGGAAAAGACTGGGATATGGTCAGAGGGGTACAATCGTGGCTGATCGAGGATCCTGGAAATACGTCAGTGTTTTTCGGAAATTTTTTGAGAACGAGGGCAAGCTAGCCGAGGTTCTTTGAGGCATTTTCGAAATTTTTAGATGATAAGGAAGGCTAAAAATGTCAATTTATAAAAGTTTCTAAAGAACGATGGTGTTTTCTACATGTTGAAAGCTGCAAAAGTGACGAGTCGCTAGCCCCCACCCCCCCACTAACGAACCAGTGCCAATTTTAGCAGCTTTTACTTTCCAGCGAAATCTACATCAAGACCCCGGAAGACTACATGAATGCGATGAGCCAGGCGGCCGTGATGGGCCCCGTCGAGTCGTGCAACGAGGATATTGAGTCGGTTTTCTGCCAGTTTTCGATTTTTCAGAGTCATTTTCGCAAAATTTGGTTATATTTTAAGTGGAAAAGTTGTTTGGCAAACCTGGAAATTTTTCGGAGATGTGAGAGTCGCTGAAATCGCTATTTTTGGTCGAGAAATTGATTTGTTCCAATTTTAAAGTTACCTATAAATTTTAGCGAGCTGCTCCGCTTCCGCACGACGCGCGACAACGAGCTGATGAAGGCGGTGGCGAACACGCAGATCCGCTGCCTGCACAACAAATTCAAGGACCACACCCTCACCGCACACGCCCATTTGGCCTATACCAATACCAAGTGAGCAGTTTGAGTATTTTTATGGTTTTCGTAAATAAAATGTGGCAAAACCTCCAAAAATATTGTATAGTTGACATTGAAGTCGAAAAATTGTTATTTTTGTATTTTTAGTGAAACTTTGTAAAGTTTTTACGCTTAGGAACTTAATGATAATTTAGAAACTCTTCCTCTATTTATATTCGCAAAAATGGATCCTTATAAAAAGTTGGAAGAACTCTCTGTTTCAGCCGCTCGTTCTTCGGCCTCTCGGAAGAGTTGGACGAGACCCACCTCGAGCCCCTCTTCTCTACCATCAAACACGGCGGTGTTGTCCGCTCGAATGGACCGAATTGCCCACCGGAAGTGGAGAATGACACCCACACACATACCGCCAATCAGCATATGCCCGGTATTGTTTTAGCTTTTTTTTGTCGATGTTACGATTTAGACATCAAACCCCGCGATCTGACCTATAGAAACTACGACATGAAACTGTATCGCCCGAACGCCCCGGGGCTGTCGTTTGTCACCGAGTACATGGTTCGCGAGACGTTCCGTACGTTTCGTTCTTGTAGCTAGTTGGGTACTGGACTGTTAGCGGGGGTAATCCTAATAGAAAGTGTTTTAATCGTGTTTTGGTAATCTATAACTTGCTATCTATTTTTCAACTAAAAGACTATCTAAAACTTTAAAAAATGCTGCAAAGGTAGAAATTTGGTAACTGTTTTACTATTTTCTCCCGTTTAGACTGTGTGGCCATCCTCCGCGGCGTCATCCACCTCGACTCGATCGTGGCCGTGTGCTTTGCCGAGGCTCAAAAGCGAGTGATTTTAACGTTAGCTACAAGCCACACAATTCCAGCCTCGCCTGGCTGCACCTGGCCGATGGGAAACTGACGGACAAGACGACCGTCGATCAACAGAGAGACCTATGCACTGAGGATACAAAGGTATGGCCGATTACGCCATGAAAATCTACGCCCTCCCCCTTTTGTAGCAACTGAAGAAGAAGTACCGCGGCAAGCTGAACTCGGCCCGCATCGACCCCACCGTGGTAAGGGATTGTGGAGGTTTTTCCTCAATAATTTATGCTAGCCCGCCTTTGGTCTATTGTCATTCTTTAGACGGCCGACCCGGCGTTTTGCCAAATGATGGCGGCGATGAGTCTCGACCCGGATGTCGGCTATTTCCCGTTGAGCATGGTCTCTTGCGTGGCTACCATCAAGTATGTCCCTTTAATCGGTTATGTTATGAAAATCCCACTCCCCGATTCCAGCCAAAACAAGAAGTCGAGCAAATGGAACTACGCCTCGCCGATCGCCATCTTCCAAAATGAGAAGCTCATCCTCGCCATGGCCAATGTGGGAAATAAGTCTATTCGGTTACGCCATGATAGCATGGCTATCGCGTAGTCAACGAGCAGAAATCCTTGAGGAGCCTTGGCTGTCTTGGAAGTTATTTTTCGTTTTGGAATCGATTCAGAAATATGCAAAATGTGGCTTTCACTTTAAAAAAGGGCCTGGGAGATGTTTCTACCGAAAATCTTTTTTGAAACTGTAAATCACATTTTGAACATTTCTAAAGCGGGGTTGATGCGGAAACGGCTTGCAAACGTAAATTTTCATTTTTTTGTCTATTCTATTACGTTGATTTCAGTCTGGCGGCTACCGTGGCATCGCCTACATGGCCTCCCTCGTCATTGCCCATGTCTACAGCGATACCCCCAATGTACTTTTTTTAATATTGGCCTTTACTTTTCAGTGCTTTTAATTTCTTAAATCAATCAACTTTTTGAGCGCAACACCCTGCTCCCGTTCTACAATCCGACCACTGATGGCCCACGCTGGTACATCAACGAGCATGCCGTACGTTTCCGGATTTTTTTGGCATACCAGGGTTGAAAAACCGCTTCGCGGCTTTTCAACCCTGGCTCCGTCTAACGCACATGATAATCAAAAATATGCATATTCTTCCAGGATCTTGCCCGCAAAAAAATGAAAAGAACCCCTTCCGCGCCCTTACATAGGCTTACTCCACTTCCAGCGCATGCAAATTACCTCCTAACAAAGAGGTTTCTCGATATCTTTACAAAAACTCAATTTTAATAGCGAAAATAGTAATTTTTCCAAACTTTTATGTGTGTGCACTCATCTCGGCGCCATTACGCATCTAATGACGTCTCATACGTGCCTTAAAAACCTACCCCTGAGGCTGTAGGTGCGGTACATACTCACGGAAGTTGCATGCAAATATACACACACACACACACACACCCACAAACACTATTTTTTATATATAGTAGGATCTTTTGCAAAATTTTGCCGCGATCCCGAATCTGCTTTTCGCATGTGCGAAAAAAAAAACATTTTTGAAATGTTACAGGCTACCTCGGAAAATTTTGACCGCAGATTCGGAATCTGCGCAAAATTCTGCTCAGTTAAACTCGAAAAATAACCTGAAACTGTTCAGCGCGACGATCACATCGAGAAGCTGAAGGAATACCTTCAAGTGGCCAAATTCGAGCGTGTGCCCCTCGAGAAGACGCAGCCGAACGACGACTTCAAGGAGCTCTACAAGCCCGACTATTTTGAGGTGCACTTTGACACATCTAATTCGATAGAGCTAGAAATTTTGAACAAGCCTCTTTCGTCAAAAGTTGTTGCACGATACCGGTCTGCGAGAAAAGCCTCTGAAAATTACCACTTTGTGCCAAAAAGGGGTAAAATTTCTCGAAAATCGTTATCGTTCAGCAATTTTTGAACGATCGGGCTTGTTGAGAATTTCGAGCTCTATCGAATTAGCGCTGTCACAAACAAGACGAAGCAGCTAAAAACGACTCCCTGTAAGCCAAAACAATTTGTTCTTGTTTTTAGGTGTACTGGGTCCGTGCGTTGAGCCTTCACGTGGCCACCCGTCCCCTCCAACCGGACACGATGCTCGTCCAGCGATGCGTCAAATGCATCGTCAGCTATCAACGCGGATTCTGAAGCGAAAGCGGATCCGGAACGAGGAAGGGAGGACGGACACGACACGACACGACACAACGACTCGCAGACTATCAACATTCCCCCTCCCCATCCCCCCCCATGTCATTTGATATGTCTGCTCGCTATTTATTGCCCTTCCCCCAGTCCCCGCTTTTCGAGTGGATTTTTTGTGTTTTTTTTTTGGGCCTGAATAAAGTGTTTGTAGTGGGCGTGGCGAATTCGGGAGATTTCGTTGTGAATACGAATGAATTTCGTCTGGAAATGGGCAAAAATCGCAATCGGAAATTAGATCACCGTTTTTTTGTGAAGGATTTCCAACGATTTACGCGTTCTGAAACGGTTAAACGTTGAAAAGTAAATTTAAGTAAACAGTTTTTCTTTCGAAAACTGAGAAGATTTTAGATTTTCAAGCGTTTTAGGGTTCGGATTCGAGCATAAAGTTTGAAACTAGCATTCCGGAAAGATAAATGAAATTTATCGTTTTTACTTTCCGTTCTTCTATCCAGTTTCTAGCTTTAATTTTCAACTTTCCGTCTTTTTTTTACGCGAGAACCCATGTACATTGTGGATCTCAAAGTTTTCGCCCCAAAGCCGTTGATGTCAGTTTGATTTTCTTGTTCTCCATCTCGTATTCGCCATTTTGTCGAATTCTATCTAATTTACCCATTTCAGAACACCGTTCTCTTCAAGAAAACCAGAAAAGTGACTCTGTAATGGGCGGCTCAACAACGGTTGATGGCTCGGGCTCGGCGCTGCCGGATGTGGCTTCACTCGGTCTCGAGGAACTCGAAAATATCCCCTGGGCTCAATATATGGAGGAACAGGTGCGGGACTGCTTTTAAAAGTTCAAGAACTTTTTTTGGGGCTGGGAGTCGGGTTTTTCGATCCTGCTGAACCAGTTGTTGTGTGCGAATTTCGAATTCGATGGGATTAGGCTGTGGAAAGACTTCTAGCAGTTATAATTTAGTTGTGAAACTGGAATTCCGGAGCAATGTGACGTTTTCCTGGTTCTGTCTCAGCCAATTTGAGCTCAACACAAATCAACAAGTCTAGAAAGGCTCCAAAAAAACGAAAAGTTTTTTTTAAAGAAATTTTTTAGCCGATGCCGACGAAAAGCCCGGAACGCAATGGCACTCTATCGCCTCGCTATGATCACGACCATCATTATCAACAGAAGCAACATCATCATCATCCTCGTCAGCACCAGAAGCATCGCTCGGATGGCCCGATTCGCGATCAACCTTTCCTCATCCATCGCACCTTTCCCCCGTCTAGCAAATTGGTACGCCGTTTTCTTTTGAAACATTCAATTTTATTCTTTTTGATTCGATAACCAAAAACTCCCCCTGTTTTAGGCCCAATACAGCCCGCCGTTCATGATTGATGTGTCGGGGTGCCCGGAGAAGGCCAGCATTCGTGATGTCTTTTTTCATTTTGGCGGCGATAAAATGGTATTTCTTTACTTTTTAGCTTTTGAATGTATCGAAATAAATGCTCGTAAATTTATGCGTAGCTGGGCGTTAGAAAACGTGAATTTTTTGCTCTAACCTTCATTCTAAAAAAGCTTTTTCAGGTGGAATCGATCCAGGCGGGCGTCCACTCGGGCCAATTTGTGATCACGCTGAAACACGCAGAATACCTGCAACGTTTCCTCGACACCATCATCTACATCTACGCCGTGCAAGTGCAGGTAGCATCTACATCTATTTTGTTTTTACAGGTATTGTTTTATAGGTGGCGCACCGCGAGTTCCGCCCGAACGTGAACGCGCCGCCGTTCTGCCCGAAACCCCAGGAGATGATCATCGGAGGAGGAGCAGGCCAGCCGTATCATGGACACCATCCGGCCATTCAGCAGCACCATGCCCACCATAATCAGCAACAGGCAACGTCCGGCTCGAGGACTGTCCTTCTTGACGGGTAATTAGGATTTTCGGAGGTTTTTGATCATCGCCTCGAGAGACGCTTTTCTAGGCGAATTTGATGTAAACCGTTTTTGAAATATGACATTTTGAGAATCGCGTACTGATACTTCGATCTTGATACATACTTCGCGATCGAGACTTTTCTAACGTTGGAAAGCTCTGAAAATCGGGAATTTTGTAAGATTTTTAGACTCTTAGGCCTAAGCATTTTAAGCTGTTTCCTCTTGCAGCTCGAACGTGCCGTTCAATGTGATGTGGCCGCAGCACCACCGTCTTCCGCCACACATGATGAGCCCCCCGCAGCCATATGCTGTTCCCTTCCGCAGCGTAAGCCACAGTTTCCCTCCTGAAAGATTCCCCTATTTTTCAGGCGACTTCCGCCGACACGACCCCACCGGACCCCCAGCATATTGCCCATCATCTTCCGGCCGTCTACCAAGCTCATCACCAGCCACACCCGCGATATCAACCGGGCTACCATGTCGAGAAGCCGTACCCGCAGCCCCCGCCTCGTCAATTGGTACTGCTTTCTTTGCTTATTAAATGTACAAAAGATGGAAATGTTGAAAATTTCGATTCCGTATTTTTTTAGCAATTTGATAGTTTTACGTTAAGTAGTAATAATAAAACTTTGGAAATATACTTTATTGGGAAAATTTAGATGTGAGGGAAAACTTTGGTTTTAGAACGCGAACGCACAGTCATTCCAGCCGCCCTCCTCTCGCCCACCGAGCGCCAACGGGAAGCCAAAGGTATCCAAAAGAGGTTTATTCTTTTCAAAAGTAATTTTTAGACACCGGCCCCCCCCAGCCGACGCCCCCGGAAAAGACGAACCCGCGCGCTGAGGCGTTTAAGGTATCTCTTTTATATTCTTGGCGCTATCGTAGTCAACAAAAGCGTGTTTTGTACTATGAGGCCGAGGTCGTGCTATTTTTGCCCACAGCTAGCGCTTCTAACTATGATTTGCTGAATCTACGCACAAAACTACGTCGGAATACGCTTTAGAATAATTTTTGCTTTAGGAAGCCACCCAGGAGCTGGATGAGAGCAAGATGCGCGAGGCCCAGGAGAAGATGGAGAAGATGGAGAAGAGCGGAGGAGGAGGGCCGTCACGTCATCCACTCAAGCCAAAGGGGCCCAACAAGGTTTTTTATCGTTTTTGTATTATCTAAAGTGTTTTAAAAAACTGTTTCGACAATAGTTTGAAAGTTAAGTTTAATTTTGTTAAGTTTAGTTAAATTTTGACTGGATTCAATGTGAAAAGTGTATAGAAAACGTGGAAACTGTGTAAAATTTTCCATTTTGTCGGAAGTTTGGTCTGCCTTTCGTCAAATTTGGTGTTCAACGTTTAGGAACAAGCACTAAAAAGGAACAAAAACGCCATAACTTTATAATTTTCCATTTTTTACAGGCGAGCCACGGGAACCGCAAGAACAAGAAGAAGGGCGGAAGTGGCGGAGGAGGCGGAGGAGGATCGGCGAGCAGAAAGGATAATTGATCCACATCCACCATCACCGCCATGCTCGAATATATGGATTTGTATCTCTCGTTCTCCCCTCTAATCGCCCTCTCTTTCTCTCCTTTTCGTGCTCCCCATCGGGTTATTTCTTTCCGGGTTAAATATCGGGCATGATGTTCTTCTTATCCCCTCTATTTGTTGTTGTCTCGCCTCTCTCATTTGATCGATCATCAATTTATTGGCCTGCCCCCTCCAGCCCTCACTTATTTGATTGGAAATGATTTTTATTAGAAAAATCCTCGCGCCGCACTGCTTTTGCCTGTTTTTTTATCGTTACCGAGGGTGGATAAATGGCTTGATTGCTTAAATTCCATTTTTTTAAAAAACGGGTCTAAAACGCCAATAAATGTGTCATCCAGTTTTTTGGGTTTAAAAAAGCTTAAAAAGAAAAAGCTGACAAAGCTTAGCGTTGTATTCGTATTCAGTAATGCTAGAGAAATTAAAATAGATAATTTAGTTTTTCAATAGCTTTAAAAATGGAGTAAAGTCTGTTTCGCACGCTCGCTGATTATATTCAAACGAGTTTGACGTTTTAAAGCTATTTTTACAAGTTACCATGTTGTTTTTGAGAACCAGCGCGAAAAATGAAGCTAGCTAGATGAAAATAGATATTTCATAGTTTTCAATAACCCTAGAGACGGTTTAAGGTAGATTTCTCGCTCTCGTCGATCAAAAGATACTTTTGTCTATCCGATCCCCGGGTTCAGCCATAGTTTATAGTTGGATACTCAGCATTGATAAGGGTATTGTGGGTAGAGAAAGTAGCAAAAAACAGCCATTCACTTCCAATTCTCCCTCAACTACACCCCTAGAAACCTACGAGAATGAGCTCTGACGCCAATTTGGCCCCCGACGTTGCAGAATATGTTAAATCGGCTATAAAAGTTTCTAAAGAAGTGAGGGGACTCTTTTTTGATGTTTTTGAAAACGTGGTATCGGCAGCAATAATTTTATTTCAGTGGCGACTGCCGGATGGACGAGGCGATTGGCGGGATGCGAAGGCGACTATTGTCAAAAAAGTATGGCTTTAGTGAGATGTATTATCGAATAGTGTCATGACGTTTTAAATTACATTAAAGACTTTCTCTTTCAAGATTTGGCGCTTCCGAAACTAGTTGGAAACTTGGAAAATGTGAAAACATTTGAAGTTTGGTCGAAAAATCGATGTTTTTGTATGTTTTAGGGAAATTTGTAGGGTTTAAAGATAGTAAAGAACGTACAAGGAATTCCTATTTTCTAATTTATAACGTTTTTAGGCGGCCGTGATCGGCGGCGGAACGATGGGGCGAGGAATCGCGATCGCGTGCGTGCTGGCCGGCTTTGAGACGATTCTCGTTGAGCAGAATGAAGAGGTAAAATACTTTAGCTATATTAAGTTGAACGATCGTTTTTGGAAACTTGGAAAAGGTGAAAACCTAAAAATTTTGCAATCAACCATCGGTCCCTGAAAAATCGCTGATTTTTGTATCTGTCGGTACCACTTCGTAGATTTTTTCGTTAAGTGATTGGAAAAACAGTAGAGAAACAGCCTCCTATTTCCATTCACAAATATGGAGATTCTGGAAACATTTATTGATTTTAGGCGCTATCAGCCTGCTGTAAGCAATTGGAGACGACGTACACTCGAGAGATGTCGCTGGGAAGGATGTCGGAACAACAACGACAACGCCTCAATTCTCCCGCTTTCCGGAAAACGACCAGTTTTGATGGGCTCGCCGAGGTCGATTTGGTAGGGACTTCATTTTCGAATTGAAAATATTTTTTTAGGTGATCGAGGCCATCTTCGAAAGTATGAAGCTGAAAAAGGAGTTGATGGCGCGGTTGGACGCGATTTGTAAGCCCGATTGTATAATCGCTTCCAATACGTCGAGTCTCGATTTTGATGAGGTAATCGGTTATACATCAAGGATTTTTTGAAAAGTGGGATAGCAGATATTTTCGGCGAGACGGGCTAATAAAGATTGTTCGAGAAAAGCAAACTAGCAGAGATTTTTGAGGAAAGGCAGGCTAATAGAGGCTTTTGAAGAAAGCAGGCTAGCAGAGAGTCTTTGAGAAAATCAGCCTAGCACCTTTTGTTTGGGAAAAATGGGCGGCGGGCTTTTTTTGAGGAAAGGCAAGCTAGCAGAGGTTTTTTGCGACCAAATAACCCTTGCGATTTCTATGCTCCATTTTCAGATGTCCTCTCCCCTCAAAAACCCTGGTCGTCTCGTCGGCATGCACTTTTTCAACCCGGCCAACGTCATCAAGGTATTTAACCAGATTCATTGTTTATTAATCGATCTTTTTAGGTAATCGAGATCGTTTACGGTAGCCACACGAGCAAAGAAGCCGTCGCCACGGCTTTTGCCTCTACGGCGGCGATGGGAAAGGTAAAAAAATTTTAGTTTGTCGTTTTAGGTGGTTGTTTCAGCTTCCAATTCTCGTGGCAAATTGTCCGAGCTTCATGTTCAACCGTCTCCTCCACGTCTATTTGACACAGGCGATGAAGCTCACGTATTTGTATGGCATGTATCCCAAGGTATTTATACACATTTCGTTAAATTTTTGTTGCCTAGGACATTGACCGTATCTTGGCGCAATTCGGACTGCAGATGGGCCCGATGACGATGCACGATATGAATGGTCGGTTTTATGGAATTGTAGCTTTTATATTAATTTTTTAAAGTCCAAAAATTGTAGTCCATGTTTTGTAGTTCGTACTTTAAATGTTTGGTACGTTTCTGTGCGTTTCTAAAATCCGTGGATTTTTTCGCAATTTTTCTGACTTCCTAACCTATCTTTAAAGTTTAAAATGTGGTTTTATACGCAGTTTTTAGTTTGTCGTTTCTAAGCTTTTTTTCAGGAATCGACGTGGGCGCCCGCATCAAATCGGAGCACGGCATGGAGTTGTCGAGTATCGAGAGGGAATTGATCGACAGGGGGAGGCTCGGCAGGAAGACTGGTTCGTTTCCTCAACTATCATGGCCAGCTTTCCCTTGGCATTTTGATCTTTTCCGCAATGATATTTACTACCTTCCCTTCTCGAATCTCGGCTTTTTCCTTGAGAATTACTGCTGGACCACCGTCCTAATTTTTGCTTTTCCTCATAGAGCTTTGTCAGCTTGCCCTGCTCGATCTTGCGCTTTCCTAAATGACCTTCGCTAGCTCGCCTCCTAGATTTTTGGCTTTTCTTCAAACGTCTATGTTTCACTGCGAGCCTGCCTTTTCCTCTGCAATTTTTACCCTTTCCAATTTCAGGAAAAGGCTTCTACCGCTACGACTCGCGTGGCCTAAAATCGGACGACCCGGAAGTGAAGGCGATTATCGATCGAATCTCCGCGGGTCAGAATACGCAGCAGAGGCACTTTGCCGAATCGGTTTGTTTTTCTAGTTAAATTTATGTTGATTTTCTGAATTTCAGGACGTAATCAGTTTCCTGTTGTATCCGATGGTCAACGAGGGATATCTTTGTCTCGAAGATGGCATCATTGCCAGCCCCCAACTCATCGATCTCATGTTGTAAGTTTTATAAAAATCAGTTGATCTAAAAATGGTAATTAAAGCGTATTTTTGTAGTTTTAGGTGAATTCAAAAGTTATCTTTCTTTTTCAGCCACTTCGGCTTCGGATGGCCACGTCGCCACGGCGGTCCGATGCGGTGGGCCGAGCGCTACGAGGGACTTCAGAAGATTGGCGAGACGATGAGGGCAGCACATTCGGCAGGTATCGCATTTTAAAGTCTTTAGTCCGGCGCATTGTAATCTGTATTCCTTCGTAGTGTGTAGCTTCTAGCTTAGCGTATTTTGTAGACTTGCGTGATTTTGTAGCGTTAGCTTAGAGTGTTTTGTGGTCTGTATTCTTTCTTAGTTGGTCGCCTATATTCAGCCGTACTTTGTAGCCTGTATTTTTTGTAGTATCTAGCCGTGCTTAGGTGGTATTCTGTCTTTGTCTAGGTTGTAGCCTAGTGTATTTATACTTAGCCATACTTTGTAGTTTCTACCTTATATAATTCTACTTTTTAGAACCGGAAGAGTTGGTGTATCGTCTCTCGGATCGCCTCTCCTCGCCCCTCAACTCGTCTAAACTCTAAACTACAAATTCGCTGCTCCAGGGCGATCGCAGGAAAAGAAACCATTTATTCGACAAGTACGTTTATTTACAAGTTTCACAAATTAAAATTAGCTAAACAAATTGACTTTGTATTTTCGAGGGGTACCGGAATTCAGACGGAAATTCTAGAATTTTTCTTCTTTATACTTTTAATGAGATCAACGAATGGTTGGATGAGGCATTAGAATAGGAGAGGAAATATCGGGGGCAAAGCTCTTTTTATAGAGTTTGTTGTCTGTAGCCAGAAGTTGTAGATTGTAGTCCGCATCCTCTTAGACGACTTGGCCGGCCTTTGATCTCTGAAAATGGCTCTCTTTGGCCTTTTTTTGTTAATTTTTCTGAATTATTCTGATCAAATAATTTAGTTAATTAATTTTTAAGCTGAGCTTGTTTAGGTTTAAAGTTTTAAGCTCCATTTTGGGCTTTATAGTTTATAATTTCGGGTTTTCAGGTACGCGCTCAACAACGTGCTCCAAAACTACTCGCCACGCCTCCAACAAATAAAAATAATGCTCTAATATTCTTATAACGTTTGTAAAATTGTATTTTGTATGTCTCTTATATGAGACACCACAAATTGTTCTTTGTGCGTACTTTGGATGCTTTCTGATCACTCCCCCACTCGCCACCCAGCTGGCCCACCCCCAAAACATAACCGTCGGCTGTAAGATGGCGAAATTGGGCCTGGCTCAAATTTCTAGTGGAGGGGCGAAACTCTCTCCCCTTACCCGGACACCTTGAGTTTTACAACGTAAATATTCCTAAAACTTAGGAGTTCTGAATGCTAATTTTATAAAGAGTTTTATTTGTAGCACTTCTCTACTCTATAAAGAATCATTGAGGATCTTCTGTAAAGACACACTCTATTAATGGTTTTCTATGAAGACACACTAATAGTATCTTCTCTCTCTATAAAGACACTATCATAACAGATAGTATCCTCTATAAAGAAACATATTTAAATGATACATTCTGAAATACAGTGGAATACTCCCCGCCACCATCCCCAACCCCCCTCCTACGATTTTTCAAAGGACCTATAGTTTCGAAGTGGTCCAGACGGGTGGCGAGAAGAAGAATATCAGCGAGCATTCAAAGAACACTCGCCCTAAAAGATTAAAAATGGACTTCTGAATTAAAGAAAATTTGATTTTCTGATGATCCTCCCCATTTTCGGGGCTTTACCAAAATTGGGCGCCGGAAGAGGGGCCAGAGAGAGATATGAGAAAACGACAAGCAGAGCCTCGCCTAAGAAATAGCGGAAGCCGAGCAGAGCTCCACCTCGGACAAGCCGAAGCAAAGCCTGCCAGAGCTTCGCCTAACTTAGGCAACGCCAAGCCTGCTTTCAAACATAAGCAAGGGTAGACAGACCGGAAGTCGACTTAGCCCAAGCTCATGCTTGACTTCAAGGGATGGAGCTTCAAAGCTGAAGCCCCAACCTCTTTTTCCCCACTCTGTGATCAATCGAATCATCGATTGATCCGCCAGAGTGTGCCGTGAGTGCATAGGGGCAGCCCGAGAGCCACCCGACTAGCAGCGAAAATGGTTGGACCTTATGCCCATCCAGTGGGCCAGACGGGGGGCGAGTCGGACGGCGCAAAAGAAACAACCAGCGTGACCCCAATCCCAGGCAAAATGGCTCGATTTTTGGGGTGTTTTGAAGCTGTTTTTCGGCAGATTTGACGTCTTCCCCATGGGTTTCCTGTGCGTCAACTAGCAGAGGCTAATTAGGAGGATGCGAATTGAAGCGGAGCTGAATAAAGCTAGCTTCCCGACTTTTAGGTGGTTTTTGGTCAGTTTTGACGTTTTTTGCTCCAAGGCTGGCCAGCTAGCAAAGAGCATTGGGGAGGGAGATTCATCTAAATTGAGTATTACCGTACCTTTTTCTGCTTGCTATTGTCAAAAGCAGCTAGATGCCACTTGAAACAACAGGCCAAGAACAGAATGCCCATCTCGACGGCAAGAATGATGAAGAAGAAAAGACGCTTCGCCGCCGTTTCGTCCAAATCTGAAAGAGGATATAAGGGGTAGGCTAGCAGAGAGAAATTGAGCTAGGTAGTATTGTCAAGATTTAAAAATTGCTCGTTGAAATTAACAAGCTCAAAAATAGCTTGCTTGCGCCGCTAAGTATTTCCTATTAATTTAGCTTCCAAAAATAAGATTCTTTCTAGAGCGTCAAAAGGAAATAAACGTAGCTTTTATCTAGTCTTTTCTTTTCTAAAACGGGGCAGGCTAGCAGGAACCATTTGAGACAGATTTGCTCTCATGTAAAAGGAAAATAACTTTGGCTTTAAATTGTTGATGTCGTTGTGCATTAAAATCGTAAAAATGGTTCAAAAGCAGCTTTCTGTATATTCATTAACTCAAAAAAATCAGAAATCACGTACTAGATTTGTATCTGGCGGTGAACTTCTCATCCTGATGTTTGAGGGAGAAGACGGAGAGGTAGACGATCAGCCCGCCCAACTTGATCAGGATGCCGAGTATCTAAACAATTTCAAAATTATATAAACGAGATTGTAGCGTAAAACTAGCATAAGTAATTTATTTCCTGTCAGAATAGAAAAAGAAATTTACTTTTAATTTATGTCAACAATTAGATAATGAAATTTATAGCCTAAAATTACAAGAAACAGATAGATTACAGCTACATTTGTAAGCAACCTTAATTTAAACTCTGGTTAAAAATTATACAACGAAATTTGTAGCCTAAAATATAACCAAAACCGACAACAATGACAATTCCTTCGCTGCGTAAACAGTAAAAAACGTACGCCAATGATACAGCATGGCCATACATCATGGCTCACTTCGGCATTCATAATGCATATCGCATAGCCGAGCATTATTGATGGGACGATGAGGGTTGTCAGGGACAGTGGGTAGAATAGAATCACTGAAAATACAAAATACATAAAAATATGCAACAAAACAAAATTAAAATTTTCGATTTTCGACACTTTTTAAAATAACTTTCTAAAGTAATTTATTGGAATTCGAAAGAAAAATTTCAGTCTAGCTAAGGACAGGAAATTGTAAAAAAATGCAACTCTCGAAAAACGTCTTTTCCAAAAAAGTTGAATTTTTGTGCCAAAATTTGAAAATAAATTTTTCAGAATGAAAAAACTAGTCAAGTTTCCTGGTAACGTCCGCTTTAAAACCAATAAACGGGTTAGAAATCACCTGGGAAGGCGGAGGCGAGTAGGTAGAATAGCATCAGGATCAGGATCATTTTCTGAAAAAAACGGTTTGATAATGATTGAGAAAATGATCGACTTGCCATCAGATTTTACAATCTAGTAGGATAGCAAAATTAAAAATGCAGAAATCCCCGAGCAACTCTCGACATTTTCAGGGCAAAATTTAGAATTCGTGAAGTAGAAATGTCGAAACGTCCTACAGAAAATGCCGACACTGCGAAATTTCGAGATTTTTGAAAATAACACCAAAAATTGATGTATTATCGAAAAGTTCGGATCAAAAAAATGTCGAATTTTCGGAATATCGACATCCTTAGCAATAATGCCGACATTCTGAAATTCTGATAACAACTTTTTTCAAGAAGGCTAAACTATCAATTTTCGATTTTTCTAAAAAGCGACAAAACCATGAATTCGTTATAGGGGGAAAAGCTGTGTGTGCGTGTGTCAATCTACCATTTTCCAAGCTATTCCCAGCCCATTCCGACGTGCCATATCCCCGAAAAGTCATCTGGGCGTTGCGTAATTCGCCATTTCCGGCAGGCGGACACCCTTTTTCGGGGGGCTTTCTCAAAACCGGGATAAACATGATTTCTGGGGTCCCGGGGCGTCAGGCGGAGCGTTTCGGAAATTATTAGAACCGAGTTTTCTCAAAAAAAGGAAATTTCGAAAGAATTTAGACAAGTCTCCATATTCAGAATTTAGTCAAATTCAGAAAAACTATTTTTGATTGGATTTTTTGGAATAAAAGTGACAATTCGAGGAAAAGCTAGCGATCCAGAAGTTAGCCAAGTTTTTGGAACGCCAAGTAATTTTGGGAGCGTTCTGGAGCTGAATGCAATTATACACAAGTCTATTTTCTGGCCAGAGAAAAAACCGAAAATCAACTTTTTGGGTCGCGTTTCTTACGTGAAAATTTTTTGTTGATAAAAATGGCCAAAATCAAGCGTAATTTGTCAATAAACGTACATTAGCTTCGATTCCTTCCTTTCTAAATTCTTCACAAACTAAATGTAAAACCCAAAAATCAACTTTTTATGCATCGTTTCTGCGCAAGCTTACGCAACTGTGCGTAAGAGTACGCATGCGTGAGTTGACAAGAAGCGTAAATTAAACTCAATAGGCCCCTTCCTAACTTATCCTAAAGAAACTAGACGAAATCGTAAACCCCAAAAGTCCGCTTTTTAGGCGCGGTTTTTGCGAGAATTTTTTCCTTGAGGTTAGGCTAGGGGTTACGCAAATGTACTTAAGAATACGCATACGTAAGTCGTAAAGAAACGTACATTCGACTCGATTCTCCCTTTCCGCTGATGTTGATGAGATGCGGAGAGGCCGGTGAGGGATTGGCGCTTCTCGTATCGCACATTCTCATCGACGGGGCGTTGATTCAGGAAGATCATCGTTGATGGGGTGGACTAGCTGAAAAACTAACCATAAAAACGTATTTAAAACGTTAAAAAATAATTATATAGCGTTATCGATTCAGGTACCGAAAAATCAAGATATTTTTGCATCACTAAACCATTGAAGTTTTCCGGAATCCAAAAATTAGCAGAGGTGAGTTTAAAAATAGAAACAGAAGCTCCAAAGCCAGAAATTAATTATATAGCGTCACCTAATACATTTACCTCAAAAATTAGCCAATTTTTACCATTAATAATTCATTCTCAAGAATCAATAACTTTAAAAATCATCGGCAAGCTGCCAGAATTCGAATCTAACTCGAGTTGGCTATACAAAAACTCTAGAATTGCCAATTTAACGCTAGAACAGCCCTGAAAGTACGGATGTTTTTTTCAGGGGAGGGGGGGTTGAAAGTTGACATCAGAAGAAGAAAAAGAAAAGGAAGAGTGGGTGGCTTCGTGAATAGAACCGAATTTAGAGGAAGCCGCGACGGAAACACTTCCGTTTTTCTGGAAGCCACACAAGTGAAAAATGCTGAATTGGCAGTCAGAGTGTAGCTTTAAAAAATTAAGTCGAAAAAACGCTCTTTGTACGATGGGGGACAGATTGGAGAGCCTTAGGCTTAACCCCTTGACCACATGGCTTTTATGGGTGCTGTTGAGGGGACAAAGCTTGCGAATTCAAGCCGCTGCAAAAACCGGGTACCCACTCGCCACCCACCTGGACCACTATCAGACACCATGCCGCCAGAAAATATACTTAAAATCCCGAAAATTACAGCGCTAAGCCTAAGCCTAAGCCTAAGCCTAAGCCTAAGCCTAAGCCTACGCCTAAGCCTAAGCCTAAGCCAGCCAAGCCTAGCCTAAGCCTGCCTAAGCCTAGCCTAAGCCTAAGCCT